TTAAGGGGTCTAAAGGAAACTGCCCCCATTGGCCCTTGTTTGATTCGAGTGTTACGGGGTCTAAAGACGACTGTCGTGAACTTTTATCTAACCTTGTTTGATTCGAGTTACAGGGTCTAAAAAAGACTGTCGTGAACTATAAATTAACATTGTTTGATTCGAGTTACATGGACTAAAGGACACTGTTATGTGCTAGTAAACCTAAACTTGTTTGATTCGAGTTACAAGGACTAAAGAAGACTGTCGTGGACTATTAATTAACCTTGTTTGATTCGAGTTACATTGGAACTATTAATTAACCTTGTTTGATTCGAGTTACATGGACTAAAGAAGACTGTCGTGAACAATTAATTAACATTGTTTGATTCGAGTTACACGGACATAAGGAGACTGTCATGTGCTAGTAAGCCTAAGCTTGTTTGATTCGAGTTACATGGACTAAATGGGACAGGCTTGTGCTAGTAACCTAAGCTTGAATTACACGGACTACAGGATACAGTCGTGTACAAGTACCATTGTTTTATTCGAGTTACAGGGGATAATACGACTGATATACAATGTGGTGATCGAATGAACTTTATTTCGAGATAGCAAGGCCCCAGTCAAATGGAGGGATATACTCTAAAAAACACCAAGGTGTCATGTCAGTGGCGTGGCAAATGGCTTCGAAATATCACATTCCACGACAGTGAGAATACTGTGACATTTTATTGAACGAGTTTAAATGACACTAACATTATCTAGATGCTGTACAGAACGTCACGAGGCTTGGTGATTTGTGTAAACACGTATTCATACAGCGGGTTTCGTATCAATGTAGGGCACAAATCAGCAGTACTTAGCGTAGGTCATAACCTCGATATCAATCAAAGTACCCGTAAAAATCCGGGTTAGAATAGGTCTTCAGCAACCCATGTTTGTTGTAATAAGACAAGTATGCTTGTCGAAAGAGGCAACTAACGGGATCGCGTGGTCAGGCTCGCTGACTTGGTTGATGCATGTCATCCTATCCAATATGTGTTGATCGATGCTCATGATGTCAACCACTCGATTATTTACAGGCCACCCTCATAAAGCTGGAATGTTGCTGAATGCGGCATTGTAAAACAGACAAACAAACAATTAAAAAAATCTGAATCAATCGACGGCAAAACAACCCACGCAGCATTAAGGTGTATTATTGATATGATCATGAGATATTCTGAGTCGAACGCCATATAGAAGCAATAAATAAACGCAAGGAACATAAGTTGGCTTTAAGTTGAGTTTTTTTCATATTTTTTTTCATAAATAACTGATCTGAATGTCCCGCGTGTGACGATTTTGTAACTCACACAATGAACATATATGCAGGTTGTTTTGACATGTAAATATATTCCAACTCACTCACTCACTCACTCAACCACCCACCCACCCCTCGCTCGCTCACTCGCTCACTCGCTCACTCACTCACTCACTCACTCACTCACTCACTCACTCACCCAACCCACCCACCCACCCACATACCCACTCACTCACCCACCCATTCACCCTTGCTCGCTCACTCGCTCACTCGCTCACTCACTCGCTCACTCACTCACTCACCCAACCCACCCACCCACATACCCACTCACATACCCACTCAACCACCCACTCACTCACCCTGTCACCCACTCACTCACTCACTCACTCACTCACTCACTCACTCACTCACTTGAATCATAAAACCTGTCGTGGAAACATATTGTTAGCACTAACACAGAAGGTCAAGGGCGAGTGGAGACAGCTCATGTGTCATGGCTACTTACAAAGAAGAAGGGCACACATATCTAACGTGTTTGAGCATTGTAAAGCTACTTGGGTGACAAGAAGATCAGGTTTAATACATTCATGCACACAGTGTTGTGTTCATGTTGATTCGTTGTCTTGGAGACGAATGGCTATGAGTAGCACTGGGGATTACCTACATGACAAGCCTGGTACATACATAACTTAAGGTGTAGTCGTATCACGGGTACAATCAGACATGTTGAAACTGAATAAAATCGACGCATTAAAAAAAACTATTTTCACGAATACTTAAAGGTATATTACTGTGAGATGGTGTTTTAAAAGGAAGGCCGAGATCACGACACCATTGGCGGTGGAACAGGCCAGATACGAGTTTGCGGATGGTCCAAAGGGTGGACATCTTCAGAGAAGGCAATTGTGTCAGTGTGCCATCCTTCCTAAGACAAAATACATGAGATACAAGCCATTATTCTATGGCTTGTGGACCGCCTCCGTGGTCTTGTGGATAGAACGTCTGCCCAGAGAGCCGAAGCACGGGGCTTCGATCCTTGGCCGCGTCAACCAAAAGACGTTAAATGGAGGCTCTCTGTGTTAAATATCGCCATGTCATCTCGGTGGGGTAGCGCATTAATCTTTGACGTTGAACCTCATTCCATCTCACCCAAAGTATAGCTGGTACATATACTTCCACACGTCAGTTTATGTTTCTTATATAATCCCATTCATGCCAATGTTACCTTCTCTCCCTCTCTCCCTCTCTCCTTTTCACTCTCCCTCTCCCTCGCTATCTCTCTCCCTCCCTCTCTCCCTTCACTCTCCCTCTCTCTCTCCACCCTCCTAGTCCCTCTTCCCCTCTCTCTCCCTTTCACTCTCCCTATCTGTCTCACTCTCTCTCTCCAACCTCTTAGTCCCTCCTCCCCATCTCTCTCTCCCTCCCTCTCTCCTTTTCACTCCCTCTCTCTCTCAACCCTCCTAGTCCCTCCTCCCCCTCTCTCTCCCTTTCACTCTCCCTATCTGTCTCACTCTCTCTCTCCAACCTCTTAGTCCCTCCTCCCCATCTCTCTCTCCTTCCCTCTCTCCTTTTCACTCCCTCTCTCTCTTTCCACCCTCTTAGTCCCTCCTCCCCGATCTCTCTCCCTCCCTCCCTCTCTCCTTTTCACTCTCCCTCTACCTCGCTATCTCTCTCTCCCTCCCTCCCTCTCTCCTTTTCACTCTCCCTCTCCCTCGCTATCTCTCTCCCTCCCTCTCTCCCTTTAATTCTCTCTCTATCTCTCTCTCTCACACACACGCAAGCACGCACGCACACACACGCCACGCGCGAAGTCGTTCATATCTATAAATGGATCTATGTCAGAGTGGAATTTCTGTGAGGGTCAATGGGCCAAGGTGAATATTTGAAGGAGCAATTAGTTCCCTCGAAGTTGTATTTCCGGGTATATTCGGGTCGTTGTTGTTTTGGTACTGTGACATTAATCTCATCAGGCAATCTGTTACAGTGACATATATTCAATCAACATTAAGTAGGTATTTAATACACATTTCCGTAAAGGATTATGTTAAAGTACGTTCTATTAATTATATGACATAAATGATCAGATAATCAATATATATATTAAGTTACATATTTACTGAAACTGTAGTTTCGATAAATAATGTGAAATAAGTCTAAGCACTATTAATCAAGTAGTCATATAAATTTCGTAACATATCTGGTTTCGACGACTGTTCTCTGAATAATGTGATGTAACTATTAACCGCCAAGGCCAGAGAATAATCAATCTCGATTATCCGACGAAACAGATTCGATTTGGCGCAAAAGACAAAATAGCTGTTAAAAGTACATGAATGGATCACCGTAAAAAGGTAATTATAAAAAATATAATTATAACGAATCAGTATATCACTTTATTTTGGTAAAAAAATCCTTTGGTTTGTTTCTATGACTGATAATTCGTCTGGTAACACTAAATGTAAAATGTCAATGCAATCAACATCAATCAGATAATTACAACATTTCGGTAAATATTCCAACACCAACACCCAGTGTCAGATGTACGGAAGCGTAGTAGGGCCACGGTGAATTTTTGTTGTTGTATAAGTATCTCCTACGTAGGACTTACTATGACCTACGTAGGAAGTCCTACGTAGGAGATAGTAAGTCCTACGTAGGAGATAATAAGTCCTACGTAGGAGATAATAAGTCCTACGTAGGAGATAGTGATTCTAGGCCATACTAAGTCCTACGTAAGAGATAGTAAGTCCTACGTGGGAGATAGTAAGTCCTACGTGGGAGATAATAAGTCCTACGTCGGAGATAGTAAGTCCTACGTGGGAGATAGTAAGTCCTACGTGGGAGATAATAAGTCCTACGTAGGAGATAGTAAGTCCTGCGTCGGAGATACTAAGTCCTACGTAGAAGATAGTAAGTCCTACGTAGGAGATACTTAGACAAAAAAAATTCACCGTGGCCCTACTACTCTTCCGTAAAATGTATATTTAACGGAATGTTATTGACTGAATATATAAATATTGTTTGACGACAGCAATATTTCAGTCACACTATGGCAACCCATGATGTTTGCCTTACGAAGCAATGCATGGATTGATATAATGAGCAACGGTCCATTTTTCAATAAATTGTTCATGACAAATTGCAAAAAAAGAAATATGCCTTATGTTTTACAAAATAAATATTTCCTTTCGCTCGACAAGCTGTATGTCCCAAAAAAGACATGGTTTTGAAAAACAGAACTTGTTCGTCTCCATTTTGAGAAAAGGATTGTTTGTTTCGAATCAGCAACTAAGACAATATACTGTGACTCTGAATGTTAAATGATGGTTTCTTACGAAAAGGCGGGGGGGGCGGGGGGGGGGGGGGGGGGGGGGGGGGCATCACTTCGGGCTTTCCTCCCACATTGAGCTGACACACCGCGATATAACTGGAATATTTTTAAAAGCGGCGTTAAACACAACTCACTCACTCACTCTTACGAAAATGCATTTGTATAATCCGTTGCAGCAAATGTTGTAATCTAGACTTTAAAAACGCATCATGTTAAATTAATGTTTCTTTTCAACTGACATAAATATAATTTCAGATGCGAATTTAATTGTCCGTCACTGTGACCTGTACAATACGCGACTCGGCCAATACATGCATGTGTGTGTATGACAGATTACAAACGCTGTAAATAGAGTATAGATCAACCATATAAGTAAACTGTACCTACCTCAAAATGCCTTGTTTAAACGTGGAATCTAACCACCGACATGACACCGTCTCCGCCTTTCTACAACACATGCACTCCCTGATATTTACAATATTACCCACACCAGACCAGTCTATGCGGTATTGAACTATTTAAGTTCAAGTGTTACAAGTCAGTTGCGATAGACGTTTTGCCCCGCGGGGAACCATTCAGATGGGACCGTTGATAACATACGGGCAATGTGGCGTCAGCTTGTTTACTGGCAGTGATTACGCCGGGTGCGAGAGCGACCAGCCAGTCTACCCCGGGTGCTCGGTCAGGACTGACTGTACCCAAGAAGACTAACTCACTGCGGGTTATATAGACATTTGTTTTTTGCAATGGTGCTGATGGACGGGTAGTCAAATATGGGGTGAGTTTTTTCATCTAAATAATCATTGTTAGATCTGATCATCAGCTATTTTCTTATGCATACGCATATATTGTTGTGTAGATTTATGTTTTGGAATGTTTGGGGTTTAAGAAAAAACACAAGTTCCTACTTTAGGATGATGTGTCCATAATTATGTTTTTATATAGAATCACACCTATGACAGAGACCCGTGAAGATCCGGGTAAGAATTGGTCTTCAATAATCCACGCTTGTAGTAAGAGGCGACTAACGGGATCGGGTGGTCAGGCTAGCTGACTTGGTTTATGAATGTAAACGTATCCCAATTGCGCCGATTGATGCTCAATCACTGGATCGTCTGGCTCAGAATCGATTATTTACAGACAGCTGTCATATAGCTCAAACATTGCTGAGTGCGGCGTTAAACAAAAAAAAAAATATCTATGACAGAGACCACATACCGAGACCACATACTGGAATATGGTGCCGTGGTGTTTCACATTGACAGTTGTTATGAGACACCCTATGTACAGACACTTTTATTGGGCTGTTGGTAATGTCACCTGTCACCTGTCACTGCGTGATAAACGTTCCCAACAACCTACTGTCCCTCTTCCAAAATGTTAATCGGGACAAAATATCGACCCATGTCATCAGGTAAATGGAGTGAGTGCATGATGTTTTCCGCCGTAGTCATCTACTCTATGCGTATTGTAAGGGGTGTAAAGTAACGAGACTGGATCAAAGTACAGTAAACTACGGTTATAACGAACTCAAAGGGACCACTAATTTTAGTTCGTTATAACCGTAGTTCGTTATAAGCATATATACAGCATAACTACAGCAAATTTTAGGGACAAAAAAGTAAGTTCGTTACATCCGACCGTTCGTTATAAGCGTGTTCGTTATAGCCGTACTGTATAAGGGCGAGGCATGTTAAGTACCCTTCTGGGCTGACTAAACCTAACACATTTCATAATTTTGAAAACTTTAGCAATCGTTATGAAATGGGTGTTCAAATTACTGCCTCCTAGCATTGAACGCTTTAACAACAACACGGCAGAATGCTAACATGTGTGAAAGGGGCCGATATTCAAGCATGTGTCAAATGGCTGCACTCACTGCAAGTATCCCCTACACAGAATCACCCCTCACCCCTAAGACAGAACGTGATACACCTTATATAAGCATCGCCAAAAACAAGGCGCTTCATAATGCAAATTTCGGAACAAAGAAATATATTCACAACATTTAAACATCTTTCCTAGGGAAAGTCTGTTCAACATTTCTGACAGATGCAAAAAACCCTCAAATATATCCTTTTTAGCTGATAAATCATTACTATTCAGAGACGTAAGGAGACTGTTGGGAAGCCCTTCCTAAACAAACTACGAAAATAAAGCCGAAAATGACAATACCTGATAGAATTTACTTTGCATCTCGGTAAATTCTTTTAAGAAACAGAATAAATATAATATCTTGTCGTCTATTTTTTTTGTTACTTAACGTCTTACTGAGCGTTATTCCGAATATGTGACGGTGGTATATAACTAATGGAGCCTAGACCTGACTATTCAGTGATTGACACCATGAGCATCGATCACGCAATTGGGATACGATGACATGCATCAACCAAGTCAGCGAGCCTGAAAACCGGATCTTCATGTGTCTCGTCAAATGTCAGCGTATCCCAATAGTTGAAAAGAACGATGTAGGGTTTTTCTTGGCTCATTTGGTAGAATGAAGGCTTTAAATGAGAAATAGGAACCACTTGAAACAGAAATCCAAATGCCATAAATGACCCGGTGTCTACCCCTAATGAGTGAGTGAATGAGTGAGTGAGTGAATGAAAATGGAGTACGGATAAAAAGCTGACAAATCAAGTATCATTAACGGAGCTAATGATAATGTGGGATTCGAACCCGTCATCCAAGGGACGCAACTCCACACACCCTGGGCACCCATGACCCCTTATTAAAAGAAAAGAAACCTTGACCTTCAGATAAATTATTTTACAACTATGCGGTTCAATTGTTGTTGGATATAAATGTTACACTTTGCATTTCGTTCGTTCGTTCGTTCCTTAATTATACATACGCTGTACTTAAGAAATAAACGACGAGTGGGAGTTGTTTATCGTATAATACAACACTGCAGGGAGAATAAACCAATAGGGGTTTATTTTTCCTGCAGTGTTTTATCTTACGATAAACAACGACCGCAAATCGTTTTAATCGTATTTGAGATATTAACATTACATACATCCTATTTAATGATGTTAGTAAAAAGTATACGCTTTTAAAATATTTACCCGTATTTAAGTAATGATGACTCCCTGAATGGAATCCGACCTCTGCGATGTCGGACAAGGCCAATTTACGAACATACTCTCACAATTTTCACGTTGATTACCTGTTCCTTTTCGACCGCCTCCGTGGTCTAGTGGTAGAGCGTCCGCCCGGAGAGCGGAAGGTCCGGGGTTTGACCCCCGGCCGCGTCATACCAAAAGACGTTAAAAGATGGTACTTGTTGTTACCCTGTCTGGCGCTCGGCATTAAGGGGCTAAAACAAGGACTGGTCGGCTCGGAGTCAGTACACTGTGTCTTAATGGGGTTTTCATGTTAAACTGCGGCATGGTATCTCAGTGGGCTAGCACTATAAATCGGCATCAGTCCGGACTAGTACAAGCAGCCACACAAACACACACACGTACATGCACGTCGCTATATAAGTGCAATAATCTTGGACGCGACGTTAAACCCCATCGTCATCTAGTTGCGACCGCAAATTCGAATCTCCAGAAATGACGCCGTGATAGAACAATGTTTTATCGTAAATTAAACCACGCTTCGTTCTTCATTGTTCTTTGCGTTTTATCGCGAAGCTATCTTGTATAAGTAGATAAATAGGACTGTTACTGACACCTTTCCCATTTAACTCACTAACAAAATAGTATCTGTTCCGAAGAAAATGTTAAAGTGTATTGTTCATAAATATACATGTAGACAGTTTCTTTCGTTCCAGCCGATAGTTTCCCGCATTTAGTTTTCTTCAACATTTAATTGTAACCTTGCTGCACCACCGGTGGCAGACTGGTTAACATATTACCTATGAAACAACACTTTCCATATCGAAATTTGAAAATATATTTGACTGCTTAACATTTGAAAATATGTATTATAAATAAATAAAACCGTATAGTATAAATCACACAATACAAATTATGAGTGAGTGAGTTTGATCTAAAGCCGCTTTTAGCAATATTCCAGCAACATCACGGCGGGGAACACCAGGCATGGGCTTCACACATTGTACCCATCGAACCCGGGTCTTCGGCGTGACGAGCGAACGCTTTAACAACGAGGCTACCCGACCGCCCCTACAAACTATGAGTCATATATCATATAGTACTTTGAATAAATAAAACAATTTGTGTTCACACATACATCTATGCAAGGTATGATTATAACATTCTAGCCAGGCTAAGAGAAGACCCTGGGTGGCAGTTATACACACAAAGATATACCAGTACATTGTATTCCAACCATGGGGCGTTGAATGATTGTATTCGTTGTCATTGTAGGTTCAGTGAGTAAATTAAAAAGTCGTGTTTGTTGGGGGTACAGTTAATGTACATTGAAATTGAATTTGATACTGTGCTTGCCAAGAATAGTAGTTTATGAGTCATATCATTCTCTTATTTTCCACTTTACTGGTCCTGGCTATAGAAATATGTTTTAAACTGAAACCTTAATACACGCTAGTGCCAATAACGAGAAAATATATCTCTATTTATTTCAAATATATCTGCGCTACCTTGACAACCGACGTCTTTGTTTTTTATATTGACGATATAGTAGTCCAGTAGTTAAAACATTAGTTCATCACTCTGATGACCCAGGTTCGACTTCCGAAATGTGTGAAGCCCATTTCTGACGTCCCGCTGTCGTGGTATTGCTGGAATATTGCTAAAAGAGGCGTAAAACCATACTCACTCCACTGACCAATCAGCTTTTAGAATCTCAAAGTGGACATGTGCTAATATGGGAAAGTTGTAACACTCGTTCCTTCATAACTTATCGGTAATAAAACACGATCTGACCTATTTCGATTCGAGTTAGATGTGAAAACAGATAATGTGTTGAGCAATCAATGTAACGTACAGCTATCACAGATGAACGCGGAATGTGTGTCGCTGTGGTGGTCTGCTTCAAACCGACCCCGAGGATTATGTATACTTTTTATTACATCGTTAAGAAATCCTTTCTGAATTTTATACAGACATATTGACAAATATTTTAACTTTATGTATACTAAATACCTACACTAAGAGACATGCAAACAGTATGGCAAGGTATGCTGTCGTCGCAGGATGACTTAGTGATTACGATGTCGAACCCCTCACCTTTCACAGTTAGGTAAAGTGTACAAGTAAATATTCTTTGATCTTATCTTGTTTGCATTACCACCTTGACTATCTCCAGACATGGCGTAACTTTTTTGTGGAGGGTCACACCAGGTATAAATGGTAGGCAGTAAGCCGGATGGCTTCACTAATGACCGTTGTCTTATGCATTATTGCGATCATGAGAAGAGACAAAATATGCACCCATGCAATTCTACAAGGGTGCGATTTTACGGTGTGAAAGGAACACATTAGTGAGCTCCTGCCTGCCAAATACTATTGTATCATGCCAGGAGACATGAGACTTGGGACATGACACACGAAACTTTAATTCGGTACTTGGAGGCCAGTGGCCCATGGTACAATGGGCATAACAATTCTTCTTGGCACAGTGAACGGTTACGTTAGACACAAACTCTGTTTTCTCCGGAGGCATTGATAATAATTTGCACCAAATATTTATTAATCTTACCATATACACTGCAAACAATGGTTTTCTTCAACATTGTCCAATTAACATATTATTGCTCGATTTACCAAACGCCTGCCACATACTTACATGCATCCTCTAGACCTAAGCTAATATCTGATTTCAATGCTGAAGACATGCAGAAACCCAACATATTCCTTACAAGTAAACATGTTCTCTTGAGACGCTGATTTTTTTCTTTATATTTCTAGGGACACTGATGCTCCCTTTGTGTTCTCCTCCCCGCCCTCAGTGCCAAGGGAGAGAGGGGGAGACATTCTGGTGAAGGTCCAGGCTGTGAGCTCCAACAACCCATGTCTGCTGGTCAAGTCCTACAGGCTGTATTCAAAATCATCGGTTCTTGATGTCAGGAAGAAGATCCAGCAGGAATTTAACCAAGTGTTTGAAAATGGCTTCGTCTTTCTTTGCAAGAACAGAGAGATTCTCACTTCAAATGAAAAGGCTTTAAGTTTAAGTGACGTCCTTCCAAAAGCTGGACTGGGGAAACCCACAAAGAACAATTTCCAGTATCCATCTGATGTATCTTACAAAGACGTAAGTTAAGAAAATTGCAATAATCAATCTTAGGATTTAATCTACCCCTTCCGTGCACTTTTATTCTAGTGAAGTAGGGTATAAGTTGTGGACATTTGCAAGTGTCCACAAAAGTCTGGAATATTATTCGAAAATATTTGGCACTATATTCAATTGCTTTACAGAATACACATGATTGTCCTTGTTAAATATCAATGGCATGCAATTGATTTTGTTTATCAGATATAATTTCGGATCCTACATAGGAGATAAATACCATTTTCAGGTTTTCATGTGTCAGAATAATTGTTAGAAAAACAATTTTCACTCTTTCACGCACGCACGCACACACACACACACACACACACACACACACACACACACACACACACACACACACACACACACACAGAATCACATGAATCAAAGACACTTTTTATCATAAGGTGATTCATGAGGTCATAAGGTAAAGCAGTATTCACCTGATTCGCACTGAAACGTCGTCAGTATGAATAAAAGAAGTTGTCATATATTCATAATGAATAAGTTTTAGACCACTATTTTCGTTTTAAAATTGGATTCCACCTTGATACATCATATTTAGTGAATAAGTTTGATAGCCCTTTGGTAAGTTGTTGAAATACTTGCAACTGACTTCAAAGGTAAAATTCACCCTATTGGTCATACACACAAAAAGGTTTTATGTTCATGATAATCCAAGAAGTGTGAACTGTTATTGTATGAAACCCTAAGGGTGGGGCATTGAAGTGATCAGGATAGGCGTGACCTTAATTGCAGGTACAGATCACGGGACTTGTCATTCGTCAGGTACTTCTGCTCCTCTGTGAACTTCCCGTGTTTGTATGTCAGCTAACACCCATATTTTCAGCTAGAAACATTCAAGCATGTGATTGAAAAGTGTTAAGGTAATTCACCAGAAAGAGCATATAAATTCTTATTAAAGTAGCCAGAGGCATGGCTCTTTGAAACCTGTACTTCATAAAAAAATGTACTTTCCTTTTTTTACTGTGAGTGAAGTAATTAAACCTGAAGTGCATATAACTCTCTTGTTAATGGAGCTAGAGTCATGTTACTTGCTGTTGTAAAGCCCAAATTAATTAATATGTGATTCCTCAAAGCGGAGGGGAAGTAATTAAATCAGAAATGCATGTTACTTTCATTTTAATGTAGTTGAAGCATCGAACATTCTGTTCTTCGTTAAAATGTATTTACTCACAGCAAAGGTGCAGTAATTAAACAAAAGGTAATGCAACTTCCGTATTAATTTAACTACAGTCATGGGACTTTCTGTTTCAAAGTTGTCCTGCAATGGACATGCGTTTTCCCTCAGCAGAGTTTGGGGGTCATTAAGCGAAAGGATCATTAACTTTCACTAACACTTTTCTAGTTTGCTGACTGTTTGTTCATATGATCAAACGTTGTACAAATGACACTCTTTTGAACTAACAGCTACCCTTTGAAAAGGACGGACGGCGTTACCTGGTGACATGTATAGGACTGCTGTTCCTGTTTGATGCAAGTGGAGTGAGTCACTGGAATCTTGATGCCCTCCAACAGAAGTTGGATGCACGAAGTATGTTCGGCTTCTCCTTCATACCAACAGATATCACGTCAGCTCGACCTGACAGCAATGGTAAGTTGAGAAGAAACGCACCTAGTGTCATATGGACAATTAGAGACGACCTGGTAACAATATTCACATATTCCTCTGCTTAACACTCAAAATTGATCTCAGCTACCAAGATAGTTTCAGTTCGTCGAATGTGTTTTCAGTCTACGAATTGCAATGATGACCAAATGAAACGTTATTTCAGATTCCGTGGTCGAGGAACTGAGCCAATATGCTGCAATCGCAAAGTTGGAGGTTGAAGAAAAATCAAAGGATCATAAAACTAAACCCGAAACAAGCCAGATTGATTATGGTATCTATAAAGAAAAGATAGAGTGTTTGCTGCAAAATAAAGGGAGAAATGTGCGGGAAGAACAGCTTAAAGATCAGCGGCTGGCTACACCTCTTCACTATGCAGCACAAGGGGGACACCTGAACATGTGCCAGTTTCTCTGCATGCGCCTGGACAAATACAAACTGATGTATGAGAAAGACATTAATGGTCGGACACCACTGCACTGTGCCCTCTATCAACATGGAATCAAGTCCAACAGGGAACATCTGAAAGTAGCTGCATATCTGCTGTCATTCCAACCTGACCTGGATTCCCCTGACGTGAATGGGATGAGCTGTTACTACATGATCCTAAGCCTGAAGAAGGAAGACACTGTCTACCTAATGAAGCAACTTGATCCAGATATCATTGATCAGAAACTGGTGCTCCATTTTACATGTTGTGCACTTCAGTACAAAGAGCTCAAACATGCTCTCAGGTTCTGTGAGGTGGTGCCAACGGTTGAACCCACATTCCTGCGACCACCTCTACATCTTGCTGCAGAATTTGGCAACCTCAAAATCATCCAGAATCTTTTAAATGGTGGTCATAGTGTTCTGGACAGAGATCCTGATGGCCATCTGCCTTTCCACTATGCTTGTCAACACAACAAGTTGGAGTTTGTGAAACTTCTCATTAACAAGGACATGAATACACAGGATGTTTCTAAAGGAGTACGATTGGCACTTAACAACAGAAACTTTGAATTAATTGGACAGATTGCAGATATGGACGTGGATATGGATCTTGATCAAGAAACATTCAAGACACTGTTGACTCAAGCACAGAAGAACCTGAAATGCGGACAATCTCTCCTCAAGTGTTTCAAGACAAATCCTGAACAACTTTCTCAATTTGTTGGCCAAGCTGCCTATCTGGGTCTAACAGACCTACTTGTGTATTTGCTGAAAAGATGCCCTCCTGATTCTACTGATAGTATGATGAGGACACCCTTGCATGATGCTGTTCAGGGCTGGAATGTTCGAGGGAGCGATGTGAAAAGGGACAAGAAAAATAAACAGTGCCTAAACGCATTTAAGCTACTTGTTAATGAGACAAAAACCTTGAATGTTGTAGACTGGAGAAATTCAACCCCTCTTCACTATGCCTGTATGGAAGGCAATCTGGAATTTGTGAAGTTCATGCTTTCCCAACAGGATCTGAGTTTTGCATCAGTGAGAGACTCCATGGGTCGGACTCCTTTGTTGCTTGCTGCACATTATAAGAAAGGTAGAAAGGTCCTGGATTATATGATAAATCATCATCTGGAGCACTTGGATCCTTATGCCATGGACGCGTATGGGAAGAACATACTGCATTATGTTGGATATATGAATTTCGGGCTGATTGATGTACTTTTGAGGAAAATGAAAAAACTTCCAAAATCACCCACAGACCCATACAAAGCTAAGGATGGCTTTCCCTCGAGACCGCATGGCAAGGTGTCATGGGCTACATCATATGACAAGACATATTTCGAAGCAATGGACAATGGACATTGGAAATGTCGTTTTTGTGAGGCAACGTTTGCAGACAGCGGGTAAGTGTCTTTGTGATTCACACTGATTCTGCCATGAATACTACTTAATTGTTTTCACAAACACCTTGTAGCACCTGGCATCATCACTATTTGATAGTGATTCACAAACACATGCTTATGTTCATCGATCACTTGATCGCCGCTGCTGCCGCATGGCAGGAGAAAATACTTGCTTTTTAAATGCAAATGGTGTGGATTGGGGTGCTACCTGATTTTCAGTTGTCAATTCATATAATATTCACAGCTATTTACGACAAATAAAATCTGTTTCGGTGGATAACCTAGACTGGTTATTTTCTTGCTTTGACAAGCATTAGCATTATGTTGACGTATTGTACATATACAGTCGGAATTGTACAATGGATTAGAATTATGGAAAGTATGTTGTCACTCCCATTATCTAATTAACATCATCTCAAAATAATGTTAAACTTTATTTTTTTCCAGCGGTCACTTCTGTGAGGTCATGTTACAAACTTTGCCTCCAAATACTTGCCTGTCCCCACTTGAAACATTAATCATAATGAACAAACCAGAAACTTTGAAGAAACTGGTGACAGAAATGCCAAACCTACTGGATGGTGAAGACGGTGTGAAGGCAAGATTCTGTGCAGTCAGGCTATGGAGACTCAGGTGTGCTGATGTTTTGATGTCTAGTATTCTAGATGAACTTCAATATCTTGACAAGTATCTCTTGGCAGCTCTGGAAATGAAGCCCACTGAGGTGTGGCGTGAGCCCAAACAGCCACGTAAACAGAAACAATGCCTTTTAACATCATTAAGGACCAAACCAGATGCTGAAGAACAAAGAAGACAGTATGTTATGGTTGACTATCTTTTGAAACTAGGAGCAAATCCAAATTATATTCCACCCCAATGTGGATATAGATTCGGATCCAAAACCAGGTTATCACCTGTAAAAAATTCTGATATCCCCTCATCTTTGAGGAGGTATTGCACTGCTCTGGAAAGAGCGATCATTATTGGTAATGAGAAAGTAGTTGATCTACTATTGAAGAGTCAATGGACAAGTACAATGGGATCCTTTGCAATCCATCTTGCTGCAAAATCTGGAAATGTTCCACTGTTACAGAAACTGTTGCTGATGTACAACGAGGAACAGAAGAGGTTTGGCATTCCGGATACACAGTTGACCTTTATCAGCATTTTACCAAATGGAATCTTAGGAGCAGCTTGCGTTTCAGAAAAGCCATCCTTTGGACTGTTTAAAACCATCAACGAAACTGCACCCGGAATTTTGAAGGGAACAAAGTTAATGACAGCCAAATTATTGGGCAGTTTAAGACCTGTAATGCTTGAAATACTTCAGATTCATGATCACCTTCCTTTGGTTCTCTTCATACAGAAATGGCAGCAACATCTTAAACCTGAAGAAAAGGAAGCAATTGTTTGTTTCATCCTGCACAATGGATCATACCCTGTGGAAATGAGGGTAAAGAAGACGTCATTTAAACATCCTGCATGTGAATTCTTCAGAGCTGCCCAAGTGAAAAGGATGTGGAACGTTATTGCAATATTACTGAAACGATCAGGATCAACACTAATGAAATGTCTGCTTGGGTTCAATGAGAACAAAATGAGATGCCGTGAGTACTTATTCAACAGATTTGGAGAAGGGTATCTCATCCTGAAGCATATTTTCGATTGCATGTCCACAAGCCCCATAGAGATCTTGAGCATGCTCACCAATGCCTGTATGAAAGCTATAACATCAGCAGATCAGGATGCGAAAGAACAACTGGTTAGAAGGATGTTGAGTCCATATGGACGAGACAGTTCTGCTGGTTCATCATCCTCTGCTCCTTCGCCATCCTCGTCTGATGTCAACAGTGTTACAAGTGATGATGCCAGCCCAGGTGACACAACAAAGTTGTTTCTTGAACAGTTGGTTCGCATGTTGTGGTGGCGACGAAAACCTTCAAATATGTTGCTGTTTGATCAGCGAAAAAAACAAAGATTTCCATCATTTCTAAGTGATGAGAAAATGCCAGATGCTTCCGAATTCGGAACATTATCTATTGAACAGATGAGGACTGTTGGGAATAAATTAGACGTGAATGCATCAGTGCTGAAAGAACTTATCCAACTGCGGACACTTGGATTGTTTCAAAAAAGGAATGCCAAAGATGCATCATTGGAAGAAAGGCTGATAGGCATACTCCAACGTCTTCATCGACGCCATATCCATATTTCAGTTCTGCATCTGGCTGTCTGGTTTGGAGAGCATGAACTCGTAGAACATATAGTAAAAGCAAATTGTGACACTGAGTTATCTCATACGGACATGGCGAAGGCTGTTGATCTTGCTGCATGGAAAAATGACAAAAAGATGGTACATCTCTTAACTAAACATGGAGCAGTGCCAACAGCAATGACAGTTCTGTGTGCATGTCTTGGTAAGTGTATTGTATTCAAATGTTACGATTATACTGTAATTTTCTCCCCTGTGTGTATCCCAGTTTAGAGTAGGTTTCTAACAGTCTTGTACAGAACGCCTAATATGACGGGTGGTCAGACTGTTTTCGATTGCCTGTTATCATACCAATAGCAAGTGACCTTATTCATAATATCACTCCAGCCTCTATTATTCACAGGCTGCCATCATATATCAAGAGTGCCATGTAAATCAACAACAATTTTACTGTTACTTGTTTAAAAGTTTGTTTTATCAGTTAACATGTGAACATTTTGGAATTCAATACATGTTTAATTTTCACATTGCTATACCTGCGTAGAAAAAAATATTCCAATTGTGATCTTGGTTAATTCCAACTTACACTTTTCATCCATTAAGGGATAGAGAATGACCAAGAATTACACAGGATAGACCAAGATGATTACAACCCATTGACAACCTACTTAAGGAAACAAAACCACCATCTTAGAAAACACGTGGGATACGTATCCAGAGAAGATACAGGAGAAGAAAAAACGAAGCTTGGACTTATCAAATACATTTGTGAGAGGTAAACTGACATTGGAAAATATTGTTACTTGGGAATGAAGATACTAATTGTCTCATGAACTAGTTTTCTTCATATCCATGTCTTATTTCACTGGTTCTATTGTTTTGTTTATTGATGTAAATATACATATATTTTTCAGCATACGTGTAAAGGATATCCCTCCAAGAAATCAAGAAGCATTACAAGTGGCAGCAATGGATCACAACTGGACACTGGTTGACTACTTCCTGGACCAGGGTACAGCTGTTTTAGAGCCGCCTGATTTTAAGGACAATGCCGACAGCTCCCTTGATGAATCTGAAGCGGACCCGTATGGTGTACGATATTCTGATGCTGTCAAAACTGCATGGTGAGAAGTCACATAAACTATATATGATCGGTTATGAAATACTGATAGAGTACCACTTTATGTATCTTTCCTGGTTATGTGAGTGAGTGTGTGAGTGACGGAGTGAGTGAGGTTTAACGCCGCTTTTAACAGTATTCCAGTTATATCGCGCTGTGTCAGCTTAATGTGGGCGGAAAGCCCGAAGTGATGCAGGTCTCAGATGTTTACCACTTCGGTGAAACCCACGAGCACGGGTATGGTGCTGACAAACCTAGAAACATAATCGGGGCGAACAGGGATTCGAACCCACAGTCATAGGTTTCTGGTGTGCTCCTTGGTATTTAGTCATCATAGATTTCAATCACTGTAACATTTGTAAATATTGCTAAAATCGAAACGTGTTGAGTGCTACTACAAACGGAACGTATAACAAATATCATTATATTTTGAATGAAAATGGCTGATTTATGACTATGCATAGGTTTTATGGCTGATGTTGCGGCAATCATTTCATATGAGTAGTAGATCACGGTGGCCTGCATTCACTGAGTAGCATATGCAATATCGTTTTTGATATTTCCATATTCATAAGAGATCTCTGTCAAACTGGTTATTCTATGGTATTGACGTTTTATATTTACTTGAACCAGGTTGATGTCTCTGCTGGTGGGTTGTAGTCCCCGAGTTTCATCACAAGCTCAGTAGCATTTATTAATTATAATATTTTGCTGACCATGGAATATGTTTCCCATGTTTCTTGTACATCGATTCCTTCAGAACAAATATACAGGAGGAATATATTTACTCTCACATGCCCCAACATGGTTTGTTACACTTAACCGCAAGTCAAAAGACGTTCTTAGTAAGCCAGTTGGAGGCATGGGAGTTACACTACATTTGGCGTGTATGTCCCCAAATGGAAGTGATCTGACGAGGCAGCTTGAGGTATAGGATTTAAAATATAGTTTAAAATTGTAATACAAAGGTCATGTGTTTCAAAGACTAGAATTGCCATTTTTGTAGAAATGACTTAAGGTTCCTCGTTATGTTCGCTAGGGTTTTGGTACTTTAATCTGGTATGAGAATACTGACGTTAATGGTATCCAAATGGATACTGTGGTGGTGTGTAATGATTTCTGGTTTTGTACCAGCAAACACTATTGGTATATAGATATATCAAAGTAATATTTATTTGTTTCAGCATTGGGCTACAGGAGATTCTCTCGTTGGGTACTGCCGACCTAGCTCTAAAGGCTCTTAAAAGCATTCATGAAGTGAAATGGGATGACTTGCCAATGAAAAATTGCATCATTTCAGCTATAAAATCAGGGAACGTTTCTGTTGTTGAACACATCGTGAAGGAAGTATTATGTAAAGTACATTCAAAACCTGGGAAAACTGACGAATTTAATGACATGTATAGAGATGTCATTCCTCATCTCTGCAAAAACAATGACATTAGTAATGTCAAGCTGATGCTACAACACTTGAAAGATGAACGTGTTGACCTCTTGGAAATCATAAACCTTAATCAATTTGACTCAATCAGCACCCCTAATTATGCATTGAGACACAAACATTGGAAGCTTGCAGAACTGTTGCTCTTGAATGGAGCTTTTCATGGTTTGCGCGGTTGTGAACCATGGCGTGAATATCCATACAATAGGAATTGGGATGTTTACAAGGGTTCGCGCAGCAGATTTCCATATCAACCAAATGGTGCGATTTTTCCAGTTGTACCTGATCTGGATACAAAAAGGACATTTCAATCATTGCCTGAAAAGACGTTTTTTTGTGCCCTTCAAAGTGATTCAAGAAATGTTGCTATTGCACTAGGGTCTAAAGGTACTTCATTCCCGGATTCAGAGTCACTGTTAGATTTGCGGAAAACAGCATCACCATGCTCTCACATTGAACCACCAAAATTGGTTGAAAAGGGGGAACCAATACAACATGCCATGCTTAAGAGAGTCAAATACCTGATAGGTTTAACATGTTTTACAACAAGAAGGGGAGGAACAATCTTCCATACAGCTGTCATTGTAGGTGATATTCATTTGATGACAGATATAATAGCACAACCCATGTTTACAACTATGATGAAACAAGTTGACTGTGTATCACCAGTGGTACTGGGAATTAGTAATCAGCACATCAAGGCGGTTCAGCTTTGTTTGAAATACCCTGAACTCATATCAGATCCAGTTACAGCTGCTGAAAGAGCAAGTGAAGCAATTATTTCCTTGGTGCCAGGTATTGACACTGTCATTGCAAAACTGTGGAGAAGAAAACGGCTGGAGAAGGAGCAAGAGTTGAAGAAAAGAGTATGCTCGTTATATGATTCTCTGAGATCACATTACTTCAAAGGAATAGAGCTGCGACATTTTCCTTATTCATCGCAGTGTTCCCTCGAAGAGCTAGCAAACTATGTTTTGGATATTCTTTTCTTGTCTAAGGAAGAACAGATCCCAAATGTTGTCTTGACAGTTTTGGCATTGCTGAGCAAACCTAGCCTATTTGAACGATTAGAGAGAAGAATGAAATTATTCCACAGGAAACCAAATCTTACATCCATGCCGATCATAGAGGGTTGGACAACTGCTGATTTGATCTGTCATCCAAATAATGACAAGGAACCGCGTGATGTATATGAATGTCTGAAACATGTGTTTAGAACAGGAACATTGCAGTTTGCGGAAGATACACTGGAATTGCCAGTGATGAAGCAAATTATCACATATGCTTTACTGAATGATGTTGCCATTATCATGCCTATGGTAAAGGAATTGATTGCACACACTTCTAAATCTGTAGCAAAAACGGACTCTTTCGTTGAATTGCTGAAGTTGGCAATTGAGCCGTCGAAGGACAAACATGGTGAAAGTGTTCTCCATTGCCTGGCAAAGACTGGTGACGCTGAATCCATGTACTGTATTTTGCAACATCTGAAAAAGGGAGGAATTCAGAGTCACAACATACGAGATGCATCTGGTTCCAGTCCTCTGTGGTATGCATTAGCTCACAAGCATTGGAAACTTGCAGAATTGCTTCTGATGAATGGGGCTTCCCTTTCTTTGATAAAGGCATTTCCAGATTTTGAAATAAGGAAGACATGTTATGCAGCCACAGAAGGACCTTCATTGGTGACACGTCCAAAGCAGTTTCCTGGGTTATGCAACAACTCAGATAGGGTTGGATTGGCACTACAGTCCAACAGTGGGGTGTTCATGACACCAAGTTTTGAGAGACTTAAAGAAGAGGTAAGCTCACAACCAAATGATGATTCACCACCAGTAACTGTTCTAGGTGCCAAAGAGACCGTTTCCAGGATTCCGGAATTATTATGCAACAATTCTAGGAGGGTTGCATTGGCACTGCAGTCCAAAAGTGAAGTGTTTTTGAAACCTATTTTAAAGCAATTTAAAGAGGAGATGAGCTCGCAACCAAAGGAATATCCATCATCAGTGACTGTTAAAGATGCAATGTCAAAGAGAGTTCAATACCTTATGAACTTGTCACACGTTGGAAGTGATATTAAGGGAAATATCTTCCATGCAGCAGTGATCGCTGGTGACACAGCTTTGGTGAAAGATTTGATGACACAGCCAATGTTTTCTAGCATGATGAAAACAACAAAGGGTTTACCACCATTTGCTTTAGCAGTTTCAAATCTTGACATTAAGATGGTAAAACAAATTCAAACGTCTTCAAAGCTAATTAAGGATCCAATCACAATAGTAGAGAAAGCAAGTCAAGCAATTATCTCCTTGATCCCAGGCATTGATGGTGTGATAGAAAAGCTTAGAAAATGGAAGAAGGTAGAGAAAGATGCAGATGTAAAGGAAAAGATTTCTTCACTGCACACCGATATAAAGTCACATCACCTCAAAGGAGAACAAATGAAGTTCTTGCTATCTAGAAAGCAATGTCCTCTTGAGGAAATTGTCAAAGAGGTTTTAGACATATTGCCCCTGTCTCATGATGTCAAGATCCCAGACGTCTTGCTCATAGCATTAGCTTTACTGTGCAACCCTGATATCTTTGTCCATCTAAAAGGAAGACTGAAGAACACATTTCAGAGACAATCAGATGTTTGCTCAAGGATAGTCATCCACGGTTGTACATTAACCGACTTGATCATACTTCTACAGGGCCATAAAGACGAAGTATCCAAATCTTTGACAGTGTTGGCCATGATTGGTACTCTACATGTTGATGACAACACCCTGGTATTGTCTGTGAGAATGAATCATGTTTCATTTCTGAAGATTGTTGCAGAGAGTTGCCTTAAACGGTTCCCAGAAAAGATGTTAACCAAACAATGGATTGATGTGTTTACATTTGCTGCTTCTAAAGGAAAGATTGACCTGCTTAGGATAATGTTGACAGTTTTTGAGAAGAACAGCCCAAGTAATATCAGTCAGCTGTTGAATGAGGTATTTTGTGTCACTTCATCACAAGGTCATACAAATACTTCCGAAGCTCTGCTAACATTCGCCACAAACACAGGAACATCAAATGCTATCGACATAAATTCAGCAGCTGTGAAAGCAGCCAGGAGAGGAATGACTTCTGTTTTGAAGACATTACTTGAACTGTTTCAGAGGAATCAATTGTTGAGTGATGACATGCTATCAACACTTTTAGAGCTAACAGGTTTCAGTGGATCGGTATCTGCATTCAGGGTTGTCCTTGAATTTGGAGATGAGCCTTTAAGGGAGAAGAAAGCAACACTAACTAAATGCGTTCCAAGGGCACTTATGAATGGCATAAAGAAAGGACATGTGGAATTTTGCCTTTACATACTTGAAACATTACCTGATGTAAGTCTGACAGAAGTTGATTCTCAGGGAGCAACAATCTTGCATTATGCCTGTAAATGGGGCACAGAGAGCATCGTTACCAAGATTTTAGAAAAGAGTACCAAGTTAGCAGAACGTGAAGACAATGAGAAGAGAAATCCAATAGACTATGCCAGAGCTATGGGCCAGGTTGCTCTTATCAAGGACCTATCTGAAACATTCAAATTGAAAACGACATTTAAATGGACCAAGGAAATCCTCCACTTTGGCTGGTTGCGATACCTTTTGACAAGTAATGGCACAGAATCCCTTCCTCCCATACAGTCTACAGACATGTTGTACCCAACAATATCTGTCAAAAGGGAAGCATGGACAATTGAGTATGCTTTGAGGCAAAGGAATGACGAAGTTGCACTGGCAATGATCTTTGCGGCAGAAGGACATATTCTCACTGCAATGACACATTCGTATGCAGAGGCACCCCTCATACATGTTGCAGCTAAATATGGCTCATTAAAGGTAATTGATACTCTGCTAACAAGAATAGAAGAGGATCAGCAGACGCTGAGGACTATATTGCTGACAGAGATTCGAGGGAATATCCCATTGGCTTTAGCAGTGCAGAACAAACACAAGGAATGTGTCAGACTATTGATAGAAAGACAAAACACAGTGGAATGGGTGTCAAAGAGCACACGAGAAACCCTATTTCATGTGGCTGCTTTGACAGGGGACAAAGTAGTTCTGGAAATGTTGAGAGAAAAATCTGACCCACAGACTATTCATCTCAAAAACAAATTTGGTATGGAAGCTGGTCAATATAGCATCGCCCTTGGTCATCAGCACATGACGTCACTGTTCTTTGAACAAGGTTTCCCTACCAATTCTCAACACAGCTCCCATAAGAAAACAGATTACACATGTCTCGATTGTCTCCTTGACAGATGTTTCGGCTGGTCTGAAGTATACCTCCATCAGCAAAAGACCAGTGGTCCCGAGAGGAACATTTGGGAAAGAGGGAAAACAACTACAGGGTATGTCTCAACCCCAGACAGTGCCCAATCACATACCCTTGAAACGTTGCTACAATATGCTGGTATTTCAAAAGACGTTCGCATTGTGAAAAGTGCACTGGCATGCATGGGATATAAAGATGATGTTGATTTGGCAAGGCTGTTCCTGCTGCAAAGTAAGGGGAATGATCAAATGTCAAACATATCACTTTGTTTGACAAAAGGATGGGAAAGTACAACAATTGCAATTCTTGAACACACTAAAGCGACACTTGACCTTCCATCTGTCTTGGACTCAGCAATCGTAACTCACTCTGTGGATGTTGTAAAATTCATTCTACAAAAATATCCAGAAGTTATCAACAAAGAGATCGAGGGAATTACACCATTGCAGACTGCAGTTAGTCTCCAAATGTACGACATATATGGGGAAATACTGTCCCTGATGCAACTGACTGACACAGATCAAAGTCACTTTGCAAATCTCTCTGATATAAAAGTGTGCCTCCCTATTGTTGCATGTTGGAAGACGGGAATATCACACCCTGGAGATGAAACATGGATTCAGTCAATGGCTGACGCAAGACTGAGTGAAGCAAGCTTTCTTATGCTGAAAACCAACAATCCAGAACTGAAAAAGAAGGTGGAATCATCTGCTACTGTGGATTCAATGCTGCCAGAAACGATCATTGGAAAACCATTGAAAGTCGATTTGGACAGTTTTAGAAATAACAAACCAGTTGCTGTGTCCGATTCCTGGTTGATGACTGTAATAGCTAGTTATCTTACCACACTGACATCAGTTTTAAACCAGGCACACAATCTGGAAGAGATGGACAAGATAGAAATCATCTGCCTGTCAACTGGTACTGGAACGCCCTTCAAGGAATTAGATGGCAGAACACTTAAAGATCACGTTGCACTTGACAGAACTGACCAGGCTGATGACGGAGAACCTATCCTTTCCATAGCCTCAAGTGAAAGAGTTCCAAATGAACTTCACAATGATGCTCATTTCAAGGTTCTAGTGGAAAAAGATATTCTTTCCGAAGCAGAAATATTGGTAAGCTGAACATTACTTCTTATCTCACCTTACGGTAAATACTAGGTTCTGGTTGGTTAAGGAGCGGACTATTATTTTCCTAGCCTGCTCATGTAGCTTGTTTATACACCCCGCTGAGAAATCCATGGGAACACACCTTAGTTAACTTGCATATCTTGCATAAGTATCGTTGCGTGAAATGAACAGATCTTTATCCAATGCACTGAATAAAGGGAAGTAACTCTTCATATGTGTCGTCTGCCAGCTCTCACAATGGCTGAATCAAAGCGTTTTACTCAGTGAAACTTCGGACATCTATTCCGGGTCTGTATGAATGATAGTTGGTGAGGTAAATTCGTTGTCAGCCAATCTCTCTGGGCAGATGGTGTGATGAAGCTCTCACACAGGCTACATCACCCAATATACCCCTCGAGATTGATGTCAGCATTGTACAACAATACATTATAACTTTAGACATGAATTATGTGCTGCGGTGAATAATAGTAAACCTCCAATTTGAAAAATAGTAACTTCTGAAGCAAATCAGTATATATCATCATTATATATCAGTTCAAAACCCTGTATAGATATTATTTGGAGTAAAACAAGGAAGAGATAACAAGTTGACATTCTTTTCTAGGATATATCTCAGGTTACAATGTTGCTGGGGCGGTCAGGTAGCCTAGTGGTTAAAGCGTTCGCTCGTCACGCCGAAGACCCGGGTTCGATTCCCGACATGAGTACAATGTGTGAAGCCCATTTCTGGTGTCCCCTGCCGTGATATTGCTGGAATATTGCTAAAAGCGCCGTAAACTCTCACTCAGTCACTACAATGTTGCTCCTTTGTCCTGTTAATATGGTTCCCTTACTCTTCACTGTTCCTACGCTGATTTGACAGGGTTGAGATATAAGATCATTAGATTAGATTACTAACTGTAACTTTTTGTCAATGGTTATGATCATATCCATTCTTTAATTTGAAATGGTCACTTCTTTTAGGTGCATGAGATTGTTGGACACAGAGTGAAAATTGATGTGGACTGGGCTTCTTTTGACACAGTTGATATTGAGACAAGATCAGCTTGCTACAGTTTGCTGGCAGGGAGAGATCTCAACAGCAAGCTTGGAGGCCTTGTTGATATTCTAGGAAGATGCAAAGAACTCTATGAAGATATATTAGCTTTGCATGGAGATACTGCCGTGGCATGTATTCAAGATTTATTTACTCCATTGCAAACGATTGTTGTATCAATGTCAACTACAATGCCATTGCCAAGAAAGATCATGTTCTTTCCTTGTGAAGAGTCGATGCCTTGGGTTTTCAATTATAAGAATGATAAGTTTGAGTTTGTGGTACAGAACTTCCCAATGTACAGTCGGCTCAAGGCATATCAGACCATATGTGTACATTCAGCTGGTGGTGTTTGCAAGTTTTCACAAGATGTTGAAACTGAAGCACAGATATCCTGGGTAGATGTATCTGTTGACTGGAAGTCATTTTCATCACTTGGAGACACATCTAGCATGTCGGTGTTTGGGCGAAATGGATTAAGAATGGTGATATATCAACTGATTGTGGGATTGAAACGCTTGCTCTGGTACACAACTAAACCCAAGAAGCTAATCCTGAGAAATGCTCCAGCTGCATCGGAAGGTGCTCTCTTGATGGATGGCGAGGAGATAACACTTACTCTGTTTCCATCCCAGTCGCAGTCAGGGTTGACTAGTGGGGGGATTGACATCAAGTCTCAATTGCATATAATTGAAGTGAAGCAGCAAATTGAAAAACAAATTGAGACAGGAGGTCAATTTGCAGGATTCACTGAATTAACTGGCAGAGAACTAAATTATTTTGAAATGCCATCTAGGGTTGTGGAGACCATGGTCAATTCTAGACAACCAGAGGAGATCTACTTCAAGAACATGGTTGATACTCAAATCATTGATAAAGCTGAGGAATTGGTATGTATAAATACATTGATAATAAACTGCGCAGTTTATCAAAGGGGCCTAACGTGATAAACTGTAACATGATATAGTAATGTGCTATAAAGGACACAAATATTTCCCATATACATGTACATTTATAGCGATAAGCATTGTCTTTGCCATAAAAGCAATGTCCCAAAGTATTCATATGATAAGCAATGTCACAGATTATTCATACAGTAAGCAATGTCACAGAGTATTCATACAGTAAGCAATGTCTATGTCTAGTATAGAAATAATGCTTCGTTTCTATTGCATAATCGTTCATATCATTTCTTCAGGATATGTATTTTTTTGGCAGATGACTGAACTGGTTGGGCATACAGTGAAGGTTAAAGTGGATTGGTCCTCCTTCAATCCCAAACATTCAGACGATGATATCACAGTCTACAATATGCTAACAGGACGAGATCCCAGCAATGAACTTGGAGGACTACTGCATGTTATCAGAAGATGCACAGACCTTAATGATGATATCTTTGCTCTTCAGGGCCAAACCATCATGGAATCTCTCAAAGATTTATTTACACCTGTGAGGGAAATTATCATCAAGCACACTGACAATTTGACCAGGACAAACAAAACTATGTTTTGTTTGATTGATCAGTCTATGCCATGGTACATTAATTTCAAGGATGGAGTTTTAGGATTTGTAGCAGAGAGTTTTCCTTTGTATACCATCTTAAAAGCATGTCACTCATTTTGTATCAACATGACTGGAGGTGTGAAGGAACTTGAAAGGAATGTTGTGGACACGAAACCAACGTTAGAAGTATCTGTTGACTGGAAATCATTTGGCAATGTTGGGGACACACAGTCTTTGTCGATACTTGGACGGAATGGAATACGGTTAGAGATGCTACGCCTGGCTGCAGGACTAAAACATCTTCTAAGGTACAAATTCAGGGCAAGAAAAATACTCCTGAAAAATGCCCAAGTTTCATCTGAAGTTGGCCTTAAAATTGATGGAGACGTCTTAATAATGACGGTGTATGCACAACGATCTCACACTGGTGGTTGGACCAGCACAGGTCTCGACATATACGCACAGCTGAAGGAAATGGAGGTGCAGCATGTACTGACAAGAGGAGCTGAAGAGGATCTGATACCAAAGAAGGATCTGGTACTTCTGGCTGAAAAATCAGGCTTCAGGTTTTTAATACCTGTAGAGAAACGTAAATGGCTTGAAGAGATAGCCCAAAAAGAAAGTCGACAGTTGAGAGATCCTTTAGAGTTACTTCAACTTTATGCTGCAGAATATTATACCAGTTCACCAGTTGAAAAGATTGAACAAGAATTGGTAGAAGGGATTGAAGTGGCTTTGACTATGTGTCCTGGCGTCTGGCCAGTACAACCTAAAGTTAAGCCAGGAAATTTGAAGACCCTGACAAAACAACTTGAACCAGGTTTATGGTGCTGGGTCACCATGGCTGAGTTGGGCAATGGTATATCCCATGACAAATTCCTCGTCAATGTCAGAAGTGAAGGGTCATGTGAATATGATTTCAAACTGTTGCTGAAGGGTGATGCAAAATCATTACCTACAACCAAAGTCAGTGGTGTATGGTACCACCAGCCGTTTGACAAAATGAATGATATGAAAACAATTGGAAGACTTCAGTTGATCAGCTTTCTCGGTGTCTTATATCACATCACAGACCCTTTTGAAGTTCTAAAGCTACTCCAGAATATACCATCAAAGATACAAAGGGGATTAACAAGATCGGAAATCCATGAGGAAGAACAAGGAACACTCTTCCTCCCTTTTGATTCATGGACTACACATTTACGTATAGGCCGTCCTCATTTTGATGTGGATTGCAACCATGGCATAGCTCTTCATCAATGCTGGAAAAGAGGCTCAGAGCTCGGCATTAATATTGTTATTGATACAGATGACCTAAGAAGATGTGGATTCAAACCTGCCTCTATAGAACGGATTGCTATGGATGTATCTACTACGCTTGAGACCTTCACTCCAGTGGTTGACTTGATGACACATCAGAAAAATGATCTTCTTTCGACCCAAGGAGTATTGAGGATCGGCAGTTCAAACATGATGGATGACCATACCCCGTGGACTGCTCAAGGAATGGCACGTGATGATGAACATTTCGGTATATATCCTCTCTCAGAGAGTGATCTGTATTTGCTTTGTGACCCTGCTCTTGCAGTTTCTGAAGAAAATGTCCAAAAGAATGAGCAGGAACCATTTGCCGTCCGATTTGTATTTCCCAAACTTCTTCCTAAAAGAAAAGGCTCAACACGTGACCCAAAGAAAACATATGTGTCTCCAAGATTCGCTAACATTCTTAACGTTACCCTTGGACACATGTTTGTGTCAGACAAAAGCAGAAAACTTCTAAATATGATAGATGATTTGTCTGCACGACACCCCCCAGTTACTTTTTCTTTCTTGGAACCAACTCCAGATGATATCTTCCTTCCATACGCTGAGACAGTTTTTAACAACATAACCACAGCCTTCAGTTACTATGCATCAAAATCGAAAGGATTCAAACATAAGTTTCCAAAGACACTGACAGATATCCATGTTGTGGAAAAGACAAAAGATTCAGATTCAAAAATTGTCAAATTTGACAAAGATGTCTTAACCATATTTGCTGTTCACAAAGGAAGATTTACACCCATAGCAGATATGATCCGTGGTCTGGACAATACTTTCGGCAAGGGCTTACTCTCATCTAATTGTAATCTGGATGATCCTCAGCTTGCAAAGTTCACAGTTGAAGGATATAAAAAATTTAAGATGAGAGTGTCTGATTTTCTTGGAGCTACTGTTACTGACTCCCTTTTAAAGAGGCTAGCAAAGAATAAATTGCTAAAACTGACTCTGTCTCATGAAGGAAAGATGGAAAAAGTTCTTATCTCATCTGAGCATGTTTCAAAAGAGTCACTGACTCTTAATTGTGACTGGACTGGATTTGAGGAGGTGAAACTTGGTTCAAATTGCATGTTATCTGTAAGTTTGAATGAAAGAGATTTGTATAGACAAGTTGGAAAAGGCTGCGAATTTAATGCCATACGAATAGAAACAGGCAAATCATCCAAACAGGTATCCCTAAATGAAAGAGAAAACCCCACATTATTGCTGTTGCCTAGACATGAGAATATCTGCTTGGGTGTAGGTTCAAATGATACAAAGTCACAAGACCAGAAACGGAATGGGAACTGTGTAACATATATTGATATGTCCACGGTCGAATTCGAGGTCGTACACAAGGCCACCTTCAGAGTGCAGAAGGACACAGGGAAAAGTTGGCTCACAGTTGCAACATCAAATGACTCATATTTCAAAGGAGCATATTCCTTTCGAATGGCACAGCCCAAACCACACATGTTCATTCGAGCTAGATGTAAACTGTGCAAGTCACTTCTAGAACTCCACAGCGAAACATCCACAACTTATCCTGGAGAGTACCTCCATGTTGTCTATGACCCTCATTCTACAAAGTAGACATATGTCTATCTCACATGTCATTACATGACAGTACGATTTGACTGAAATATTGCCAATGTTACGTTAAATTTTAACTCACACACTCACTCACTCATTATATGACAGGGTACAGTCGGCCCAGACTGGCCAAGTCGTCTCAATTCGCGGTATAGAAATGCGTCCCTTCGAGCACGTCAGAATCTATGACCATGGGATCGATTCCCGGTTTGCCCCTCATATGTTTCCAGGTTTGTCAGCACCATACCCGTGCTCATGAGTTTCACCAAAGTGGTAAACGTCCGCTACATGCGTCACAATAGACACATTGAGCTGACACGCCCTGATATAACTAGAATACTGTTCAAAGTGGCGTTAAAAACGCACTCACTCACTCATTATATGACAAATACTCTTGCCACATTTTCATTCTTATAATTCTATGGGATTCCCTTTGGATATCATTACAGTTGGTATAATATATCTTCCAGTACTCATATATCACCACGTTACGTGGACATGACTAGAACTGGTATTTTGACTGTTTAGGGATGTTCATCTACAAGAATTTGTAAGAGGACGTGATCAAATACAGTCATCACCTAAACTATATATATAGATGTATAGTAAAGCATTGTCCACATGAATGCATGTATAGTTTACATTATTTAGGACATTTTAGTTAAATGTATATTATTGATATTTCAGTATTGTTTTTGTAATATGACTTTGTAACTTGTTTCACAACAAACTCAGCCCAATTGTATAAACTGTTTTCACAAATTATTTTGTTATAGTTAGTCAAATTACTTCATTTTATTGTAGATATATTGCTATAAATAATTTATTGTTATGTATGTTGGAATATTGTTAGAGCAAAGAAGAATGATGCCAATAGAGTCTTTTTGCATGTTTTGTTTGTGCTGATCGACATCTGACAACCAAATGTTGCATAAAATGAGGATTTAGAAATTTCAAATTATTGATTGTATCCTGTTTTGAGCAAAACCATACACATGGTAAAACTAGCATTGTTTTTGTATATAAGTGTGTTTATGTATATATTATATAAGCAAAATATCTCGAGACCATGCCGTTATCTGACATATGGGAGAGTTTTGTGAACACTGGTTTGAATATATATTTATTAATAATGAACGCCGTCAATTTGCCATGATTCGTCAATGTTCTAGAGGTTGCCAGGTGACATTGGTAAAATGTATAGTAGTGTCTTTTCTTACCGCAGGTATTAAGCAAGTACATGTTAGCTGTTTGGTAAATAATGCACTAGTGTACACCATTTGATATTTCAGACCTCTCCCTCGTTGTTTAAAGTACAGCAATAATATTATTGTGTTTTATGAGTACAGATGAGAGTTTTAGATATATATGCAGTAGTAAAGATATTTGAGTTCTCAATTTACAAAAAGGATAACAGTTATTCTTTTGTCCAAGTATAACCGAAGGGAGACAACCGGATTGTATCTCTTGCATGCTGGTTGTTTCATTGTTTTTCTCAATATTCAGATATGTTTGTATTATATGTATATATATCAAATGGACAGTTCTTGGGATTATTTTAATTTGTTCCTTGTTTTCATTTCATGTCGTAGCATTTAGTAGAATTAGAAATATGCCTGCTACTGACGATTGTCCTTTGAATTTAGATTTAAAATTTGTATTTACTTTGTACCTAAAAAAATATTTTTTACCTAAAAAATAATGTAATGTAAATATGTGATACTTAAAAGTAATGGCTTTTTTCTAAGGCTAGATTACACAATGTAACTTTGAATTTTGCTTTGGTAATGAAACGAATACATCGTTCCTAACTAATGTTATAGTATTAGTAAACAAACATATCAGTGTAATTACTTTCCACACTGTAAAAATTTCACTTCTACTAGTGTTCATCACAACTACTTATCAGTGTGCGTTATATATTCAGGATTTATTACCAAGGTATTACTGGTATAGATGACATATTTATTCCAAAGACATGTAAAATCACATGACGTTTAGATATTCTTCACAATAACCAACAAAAAAAGACAAATTAACACATTTCTAAAGTGTATGTACAGTTTCAGTAATTCAAAATACAAAAGTATAGACAAATGCTTCACTTGAAATATAGAAATATGGACAAGCTAGGTATATCAGTATGTCATGCATCATATGAATGCACGTACATTGTAACATAAACTAGGACATTTTAGTTAAGCCTGTGACTGTATTGTATATTTGTCCAGCATTGTGTTTTTTTAATATATGTATTTTATCATTTTTTGAGAACCATTTTAATTATTCATTTTTTAATGCATAGTTTGTATAGAGATTCGGGTTAGAATAGGTCTTCAGCAACCTATACTTGTCGTAAAAGGCGACTATGCTTGTTGGAAGAGGCGACTAACAGGATCGGGTGGTCAGGCTCGATGACTTTGTTGATGCATGTCATCGTATCCGAATTGCGAAGATCGATGCTAATGATGTCCATCACTGGATTGTCTGGTCCAGACTCGATTACTTACAGACCGCCGTCATATGGCTGGAATATTGTTGAGTGCGGCGTAAATCAACAAACAAACTATACTTTTATCATTAGTCAAATAACCCTTACTCCATTATAAATATTAATATAATAGTGTTCAGATATGATATTCTAGAATATTGTCACTGCAACGATAAATGATACAGATTGGTCTTTATGTATGTTACGTTTGTCCTGATTGATACCCAACAATAATGTAACATTAGGCTAGAGATGTTCACATTATTGACTGTATATCGTTTGAAGCAAACCATACAAATGGTTAACCAAGCATAGTTTATATACACACATAACTATCAAGGTTTAACACTAGTGTCTCAAAATAGCCATCATGAAATATATGCTTGTAAATTGATTCATTAATAAACACATGAGTAGAGATATCCCATAATAATCTAGTTGTTGAAAAGTATTGTATAGTTTTATAGGTTGCCAAATGTAATATATAACATTGTTTCTCCTCATTGTACATATCCATTGTCAATAAACATGTTAAAATAAAAAAAAGTAATGAACTAGTGTAAATAAAAGCGAAAAAATCCTTTTCAACATAAACATGGGAAATCATAGACCATTTGGTATTTTTCTTAATCAAAAACTACCCCTAAGGATTTGCAATACTATTTCTGGTATTTATTAGTAAAGGTACAAAAAATTCTTTCGAGATATGTATCCAGAAGTAATCATTGTTGAGTTCTCAGTATACAAAGAGAAGTAGGGTTAAAAATATTCTTTCGTTCAAGCATAAACAATGTGAGGCAACCGGATGGTCTCCCTTTGAATGCCAGTTGTATCATTGTTTGCTCAATGTACATGCATGTGTTAAACATTTGTAGCAAAGGTATTGTTCATGGGATTATTTTAATTTATTTCATTTCATTGTGTTGTATTGTAATTGGCAGCTAGAAATACGCATGCTACTGCAGATTGTCGTTTGAATTTAGATAGGAAAATCCTTGGTTTTGTATATATTCTTTACTTCAGTAATAACAATAGATTGTAAATATGTCATACTTGTAAGTAATACCTTTCCTTAGATAGATTTGTCAAAGTAACTTTGATTTTTTTAAAATGGTTTGGTATTGATAATATTAATTATATCTGACTTGATTACCTTTGAAGACCAAAGACATTTTGCTATGTCTTTAAATTAGCTTTAACTATACAGTACTGGTATAACCTCCTACCAGTACTGCCTGTTTTCAGTGGTGAAGCTTCACCGCTTTCAGTGTAATTATTATGCTGAGTAAGCCTATAGTGTAGATGTCTTGATCTCCACGAAAACATCTGTACAGTATTAATGTCAGTGAAGGCCCCTGTGATGTATGATGGAATCCCCGCGGTTGAGTTAAGGGGGAAAATATGGTATTCGTTGATTGTCATTTTAACAAAGGAATCAGTATGTCCTGTTTCAGTCATTAATGATTGTGTGATAGATACAATGAATACAATTTACGGGGTCGTTCATACATGCATTGCAAGTAATGGGATGGCCTTGATGAATTGGTGAGTAGTTATTACAATGAAGCAACTGAAGAGGTGACTCATCCCAAATTCGGTAAAGCTTTTCCCTTATGCATAGCTTTATAATGTACTTAAGGCATCTTCTTGTGACGTGGATCTACGCTATTCATTTTTCACATTGTCATACGCAGGAGGACTTCTCATATTCATTTTGTCTACAGACATGGTCTTGCCTTGCGCACAGTAAAAACTGTTTCGGATGTTGATAGAGACTGTATTTCCTCTGGCGTTGACGTTATTCTATAATATATGCAATATATTTGAAATGTATTTCTTATATTAATCATAACCTGTAACATATTGTAAATAGGCATCTATCAATAGGAAAAGTCAGCTTTAATGTTAACCAGATCAAAGAATCCAAAACAAAATCAAATCAACAATTTTATGTTGTACAATGTTTATAATTCAGCCTTGAGAAGACATAAGTGAAATTCTTGTGGCCTGTATTTAAAGGTGATGACTTGTCATATGTAGTCGATGTTTACTAGACTTACTAGATATATATTATTTCTTGTTTCTAACTTTTGAAGTAGCTAATGATATGGGTTGTTTTACAGACATACCACAACATAGCTATTTGAATTTGAAGGAAACTTTACAGTAATATGCAAAAAGTGATTTGATATATAATCATAGGTTTTAACCCCATATTTCATACGCATGTGTTAATATTCATTGCTTATTTACTGATGTCAATAGTCAATATGACCATAGCGAGAAAAGAACATAACAGTTTGCATGCATATGTGACGCAAGTGGAAGGGAAAGAAATACTGGTTACCTCCGTTTGGTTCATTTCAACTTGTAATATATTTTATATACTATATATTATATTTATTATATTTAGTAGAATATGTACTGTTTTGTCAACCATTCAAATATAACTATTTTGTCATATTATTGTTCCAACTATATTTTTTATATATATTTTTGAAATGAAAATTCCAACATAATTAGTCTGCCAACAAAAATAGATCTATATCTAAACAGTTCCATGCGTATGTTAACGCGTTGGTGAAGAGATGATATTTATACTTATATATACTAGTAATTATTTTCTTTGATTCTTCCTTTATTTAAGGACCTGTGATTTATGTCAAGTAATGAGTTTCAGAATAAGTAATGAATCTATCAAAATGTGTGTAAACATTGACTAAAGATGTACATTTGATTAAAGGGCAAATGAATGAATCAAGACTGAATATGCAGTTCCAGAAACAAATGTTTGGTTTAACAAACTGACATAAAATGTAGTTCCCATGGCGGGTGGTAATAGATATGCCCTCAGTGTGTGTGCCATTACAGTCTCTGAAGGACTCCTTATGTATTCTTTGTCATGTCATTAAAATACAACAGTAATTAATATCTCCCCTCAGCATTACCCTGTTGAAATGCGCTACAAATGTTCGGCCACCCGGAACATGTCATTGCTTTGAGCCTCACATGGACACGTACTTAGTGTAGTGTGGACACTCAGAGGGCCACAGATGTATACCACCCCACCCATTCATTATTTATAGCATTTCTACCCGTATTAGACACAGATATTTTTACTTCATTTATTAAACTTTCCATAGCCGTGTCAAGATGTGGTGGTCGCTGGTTCGAATCCCAGTTTCGATCCGATTATGATCAAAAGGTGTTATAAACGTTGTAAGTCTATGGCTTGCTTCCCGTCAGGCCTTACCCACCGTGATATCAGTGAAATACTGCCCTGACGCGTTAAACAAAACTGATGATTAAACTTGAGTAGAAGTTTACCATGTGTTATTTAAAAAGTAAAATGGGTATTGTGTTAATGAGATACAAAATCAGAAATATGAAATAGATTGTTATCACGAAGAAATACAAAATACATTTTATGATAAAACTCTCTGTATAAAGATAGAAAGACATAACTCAAAATTCCTTATCTAAATTATTTTGCACCGTTTGGTATATAGGTTATTTTATAAAAGTTGTTTGAAACCAATTGTGAATAGTTTGCTTATAAATATCATACACTGAATGTAGAATGTGGTATCAAAGTGAGTTATTTATTTTTCTATGGGATCTGTTATGCCAAATATATGCCAACGTAATAATTTAACAATTTGACAATTTGTTTTACATGATCAGAGTGTTGTTTCCTGGCAACTTCAAAGGGGCCACACAAGATCGTTTTTGTGAATTACGTCTGTTTATATGTTTGCCATTTAATAAAGATTTTTATAGATCAAGTTTAGCTATGTCAACTTCTTACAATTTCTTACTTCTGTGCATTTTTCCTATTTGTAGTATCAGTATTGTTTTATTTTGTAAAAAATGATTATTGTCACCATAGTTCATATGTTCTTGGGAATTACGTCATAATGTTGATCATAATAATCATTTATTTCAAATCTTCATTTATCACGTTTAGCTATGTCAACTATTTACAAATATTGATGTCAGTGGATTTTGCCCATTTATAGTATAAGTATTGTTTTGTAAAAACAAATTATTGTCACCATATTTCATATGGTTTTGTGTGTGAATTACGTCATAATGTTGTATAAATCATTTATTTCAAATCTTTATTTATCACGTTTAGCTATGTCAAATATTTACAAATATTTACTTCAGTGGATTTTGCCCATTTATAGTATCAGTAAAAACAAATTATTGTCACCATATTTCATATGGATTTTGTGTGTGAATTACGTCATAATGTTGTATAAATCATTTATTTCAAATCTTTATTTATCACGTTTAGCTATGTCAAATATTTACAAATACTTACTTCTGTGGATTTTACCCATCCATTGTATCAGTTTTGTTTTGTTTTTTAAAAAACAAATTATTGTTACCATATTTCATATGTTTTGTGAAAATTACGTCATAATTTTGTACAAGTCATTTTATTCATTTTTTCATTTTTCAGCTTCAACTATGGTAATTATTTATAAATACTTCTGGGATTTTACCCATTTATAGTATCGGTGTTGTTTTTGTTTTGTCCAAAAAAATTGTCAAATTAATCAAGCTTTTGTTAAACATACTCGATTCCTTTAAACAGTGGTGTGTAACCATCTACAAGTCAACACACCTAAATGGCAAACTGTCGCTATGGATCATTCATTTGTTGATAAATCATGTTACCCCTTCCGTCCATGTGCATATATCAGGTTTTTATTGTGTTTCACGTGTTCACGACGATGCTGTTGTACATACTGAGAAGGCATTTTCTATTCCCTTCCGTCGGTATTTATAATATGTTCATAGATGCAAATGTCCTGCTGGATACACATCTTGC